ATTATATACAATTATTAATGATTGTCGCATGCGGAACAATAGCTCTCTAAAACATACATCTTATTCCAAGTTTCATATTGATTGAATGTTCCTTATTGTGACAGTGTGGTGTGGTTTTTTTTTTCCTTTTCTAGATTTTTCTCTGTAGTAGTTAACCCAGACAACAGCTCCAGGTCACAGGGGAGTTGGTAACTGAGACATGCATCTACTTATCCTCTCTAGTCTGCAGAAAGTGGGGCCAAGGCCAGCAAATGGGAGCAAAAGTCTCACAGTAGCTGCCAAGTGTGGCTGTCTAAGGAGGACTGACTCCATGCTGTCATGGCGGATCGGAAGTGGGAAGCTCTGCTCACTGCAAGTGTTCTTGCCACTGTGTGTGGGGGGGGGCCTGGGAGAAGGGCCAGGTTTCCCATGCTTGTGGCCTTCTCTGTCATTTATCACTCCAAGAAGATGATTGGGAGAGATGAATGCATCCTAATTCTTAGAAGAAATGTCAGATGTCTTTTTTCCTTTCCTGGAGCTTCTGTATCTGTGTGCAGCATGCCAAGAGTAAGATCTACCTAGCTCACAAGGAGGAACTGACGCATCAACTGCCTCTTCATGCCCAGCACTTGTGGGCATGAGTGTGTCTGGGTGAGGCTCCTAGTCCTTCTGTGAGAGAAACCGGAAACTAAGTCCCCATGAGTAGAAATCTCTGTCTCTGTCTGAGCTCTGGGTTGAGTTTTCCTAGCATTTGTCCTCATTAAGATTCTCCAGCGCCTGCCCAGCCTGAAGTTCTCTGGGAAAACGAAGCTTTCTAGTAGAAGTTATCCTATGGCCCAAATCTGGCAGCTTTTAGGGTAGGGGGTGGGAAAGGCTGCTAGAACAGAACAGAGTGGGCCAGCTTTGGGAGACACCATGGTCTTTGCTTGCCCAGCTTAGTGTTCTGGAAACATCTGAATGTGTTGCTATGCTTAAGACACTAGGAACTTTCACCTGATCCTCTGCCCACACTCCTGCCTCAGCAGTGACTGGCTTCAACTGGGTTTCCACTGTTCCCGTAGTCAGCCAGAGCTCTGCAGTCTCCATGGGACTCCCTGACCTCAGCTCTATGCTTTCCAGACAAGCTTTGTAGGCATGTGCCTTTGCGTTTCCAAGCTAGAGGTTGCTGTGCAAATTATCCTGCAGGTATACATGTCATTTCCAGCATCCCCACTTCCCAGCATCTGCAACCCCATACCACAAATGTAACTTCCTGTTACTACAGACTGGTCTGGGAACGTCAAAGGTGCTCTGGGAAGTGGTCCTTTCTCTTTTCCTGAGGTTTTGACACATGAGGACCCAATGCTCCTCCCTCCAGACAAAGCAGAGTTCTCTGGGCCTGGGCACTGTCCCTCAGCTCTTCAGCTCAAGGCTTGTGCTCTACCACTTGAGCCACAGCGCCACTTCTGGCTTTTTTCTTTTTGCTTATGTGGTGCTGAGGAATCGAACCCAGGGCCTCATGCATGCAAGGCAAGCACTCTACCACTGAGCCACCTTCCCAGCCCTGGAAGAAATAAATTTCTGTTCTTTATAAAATCTCTCAGTCTGGACTATTCTAATAGAAGAGCACAAAAAGGACAAAGACCCACCTCTCTCACAGACCTGAGGATGCCATTCTGGCAGTTTCTACTCTCTCCCACATCATCACTTTATCTGGATACTGCTAACTTGCAATTATTTCTCCCATCTTAAAACCAGTTACCACTGGGCACCTGGTTGCTCATGCCTGTAATCCTAGCTACTCAGAAGGCTGAGATCTGAGGATTGCAGTTCAAAGCCAGCCCCAGCAGGAAGGTCCACAAGACTCTTATCTCCAATTAACCACCAGAAAACCAAAAGTGGTGCTGTGCCTCAAGTGGTAGAGCACTAGCCTTGAACTAAAGCGCTGAGGGACAGTGCTCAGGCCCAGAGTTCAAGCCCATGACTGATCAAAAACAAAAACAAAGCACAACACACACACACAAAAATGTTACCTCCCACTTCCTTTCTACTACGTCCGTCATCTCTAATTTATCCCCTCCCCTCCCAAGACTTCTCCACCCAGGCCTTTGCCCTACCACTCATCCCAAACTGCTCTTGAAAAGATCATTAGTGCTGACTGCATTTTGCTAAGTCTAAGAGTGCACTGTCCTTCCTAGCCTTCTCAGCACTGTTTTTCAGAGTATACTGCTCCCTCCTCTGGATACTTTTTCTCCACTTGGCAGGTGATCACCTATTTGTTCCTGGTCACTCTCCTTTTTTGGTAACTATTCAACCTCTTCAGTTTGAGTGCCTCAAAGCTTAATACAGAATAATTATCCCTGGATAATCCCTGGATTATGCCTGGAACCTAAAGTATTTCAGATTTTGGAGATTTCTTTTAGATTTTGGAAACTTGTATATATGTAATGAGATATCTTAGGAATGGGACCCAGCTTTAAACATGACATTCGTGTTTTTTGTTGGTCGTGGGGTTTGAACTTTGGTTCTGGGCATACTGTCCCTGAGCTCTTCAGCTCAAGGCAAGCACTCTACCACTTGAGTCACAGCACCCCTTCTGGTTTTCTGGTGGTTAACTGGAGATGAGTCTCATGGGCTTTCCTGTCCGGGCTGGCTTTGAACTGTGATCCTCAGGTCTCAGCCTCCTGAGTAGCTAGGATTACAGGCGTGAGCCACCAGCGTCTGGCTCATCTATGTTTTGTTTTCACACAATGGCCTGAAGGTGATTTTATCCATTAAATTTTTTTGCACGAAACTAAATTTCATGGTGTAGAATAATTTTCTGCATGTGGTGTCAGTGCTAAAATAGTTTTGCATGTGGTTTTGCATGTGGCCCTTTGGATCTGCCTGTCCTTGTTCTTTCTCCCAATGCTCACTCCATCTTGATCTTTTTTATTTTTTCTTTTGAGCTGGTATTGGGATTTGAACTCAAGGCCTGTGCCTCACTTTTTGTTTTTTAGTTTGGGTGTTGTTTTGTTTTTTTCTCCTTGGGACTAGTTCTTTTACTACTTTAGCCACACTTCTACTTCTGAGTTTTTGCTGGTTAATTAGAGGTAAGTGTCTTGGGTTTGTTTGCCCAAGCTGGCTTTGAACCTCAATCCTTAGGTCTTATTTTATTTATTTATTTTTTTGGGGTCCGGTTGTGGGGCCTGAACTCTGGGCCTGGGCGCTGTCCCTCAGCTCTTCAGCTCAAGGCTAGCGCTCTACCACTTGAGCCACAGCACCATTTCCGGCTTTTTTCTTTTTGCTTATGTGGTGCTGAGGAATCGAACCCAGGGCCTCAAGCATGCAAGGCAAGCGCTCTACCACTGAGCCACCTTCCCAGCCCCAGGTCTTATTTTACTACATAGCTGAATTACAAGTGTGAGCCACCAGCACTTGGCTTTGATCTCGTTTTTAAAATACATTGGCATGTTAGTCACTCCCTAACATATACTTCCAGTCCAAGCCTTGTCCTGAAATACAGGCTAGCATAGCCTGTACCTACATAGTCTTTTCACCAGGATGTCAACAGACAACAACACTTTGCCCAGACTACACTGATCTTCTAAAACCTGTCCCCCTGTGGTCTCATCTCAGGCCCAATCCTGTGTTTCTGTTTCCCGACTGCTTCTCACTGCCGCTAGCACAGTCTTCTCAGCTGGGTTGTTAATGACAACCCCCCCTGCACGCCTACAGTCTGCTCACACCACCACAGCAAGGCGGCAGCAGTACTCTAAGTCACGTTGTATCATGCTTTAGCTGAATGTACTCTCAGGACTCCCCATCCCACTTGGAGCAAAATCTACCAATGTCCTTCCCAGTGTAGGATCCTACATGGAAGAGGGTCCCTCTACATTCACCTCTAGCACTCTCCACGCCTTCAAAAAATGCTGGCATGCTCCCTCCTTAAAGACTCGCACCCATCCTTTGCCTAGAACATTCTCCTATGGCTATGACCTTCCATCATGTCTAAACATTTTAAAACACTACCTTCAGCTGGGTGTGGTGACTCACACTTGTAATATCAGCTACTCGGGAGGTGGAAAGCAGGAGGATCCTGGTTAGAAGCCAGCAGGGGTTGGTGAATTCACAAGACTCTATCTCAGTCAATGAACCTGGTGTGGTGGTATACACATACCAGGTAGGAGAAGGAGGCTGGCTTTGGGTGAGAAGTGAGATCCTATGTTAAAAAAATACCCTAAGGAAGTGGCACTGTGGCTCAAGTGGTAGAGTGCTCGCCTTGAGCTGAATAGTGCAGGAACAGCGCCCAAACCCAGAGTTCAAGCCCCATGACCTACAAAAAAAAATTCTGCAAATGTTTAAGCCGGGCGCTGGTGGCTCACGCCTGTAATCCTAGCTACTCAGGAGGCTGAGATCTGAGGATCGCGGTTCAAAGCCAGCCAGGGCAGGAGAGACCGTGAGACTCCTATCTCCAATAAACCACCAGAAAACCGGAAGTGGCGCTGTAGCTCAAGTGGTAGAGCGCTCGCCTTGAGCTGAAGAGCTGAGGGACAGCGCCCAGGCCCAGAGTTCAAGCCCCACGACCGACAATAAAAAAAAAAAAAACCCTAAAACCGTAGAAGAGGTATGCCTCATGTGGTAGAGCAACTGCCTAGCAAGCATAAGGTCCTAGGCTAAACCCCAACAATGAAAAAAGTAAAATAAAATGCTATCTCTTCAAACAACTCTACTTGAAATTCTACTCAGCCTTCTTCTGACCCGCCTGGCTCTCTGTAGCTACTCTTTCCCCACCACTGAGCATGATGCCATAATACCCCTTACAATATGATACTGTCGTATGACTTACTTATTTATCTATTCTCCATTTCAAGAAGCTGGAATGGAGCTCAGAAACATAATAAGCACTCAATGAATACTTCTTGAATACTGTATAAATCTTAGAGAAGGATCACAGCTTTATATGAGAATATTAGACAGTTTAGGGAGTCCAAAAGTACTTTTTAAAAACATTAAAACATCAAGGACTTCCAAAGACTACACATATTTTGGGGAGAAAAACCTCAAACTCTAGTTTTAGTTCTAGTTCTCAAAGAACCTATCTAGCAGAGACATGGCAACAAACCAAATATACATTGTCCTTGATTTTTCCTAACTCCTCCTACACATCACTCATTCCCGATAGTGTGATCTGATCGTAGCAGTGTTGGGAGCCCCTTCTGTTGTCTCAGGAGAGACTGATTGCTAGCCAGGCCACAGCTTCTACAACCTGTGATGGGGCTTCCCCAGGTCTTCTCCCAGAGGAGAAACTATGAGATTTACCATGCAAGTGAACACTGTACGTGGGATACGAGCTGGGAGTAACAAATAGAGCAGAAATACAGAACAGAAAATAATCATCTTTGAAATGACAACAAATGGGACACAATATCTAAGCACTAACACCTAAGGGGGTGGCTGCCCAGCTCTGCAGAGCAGCTCCTCAGGAGAGAGAGGCTGACTTCTTTGCAGGTTGCCTGGTCTTCAGTCCTTGTAACTTTTCATCTTTGAGCGCCTTCAGGAATTTATCTGCAGTAGAGAAAAACCAACTTAGCTATAGCACAGAGAAGGACTTTTTCTCAACCTTCTGGTAATTGCGCTTCCTACATAAGCCTAAAATCCCCTAATAGCTGAAACATATCTAGGTGGAACAGTCTAGAAACTGTTTCTCTTCCAGGGCTATAAAATAGGTATGTTACAGGGTATCTGATGGATTGCAGTGCATTCCTACTGCACATAGGTTACTTCAAACATCTCCTCCCTGTGTGTTTGGGGGGGGGAGTCTGAGGGGGGTGTAGAGTGAAGAGCTTAACCTGCTGTATACAAGAGTTGAAATGATCTTTCTAGAACAATCTCCCTCCTTCAGTGGTTAAACTGAAAGGCTTAGCAGGGAAAGGTTATGGGAACACATAGCCTACTGACTAATATGTAATAAACACGCTCTTCTTGGAATGTGGCTGTATTGAACCCCCTTACACTCCAGTAGGGAGGTACTAGTTCACACACGAGAGGTCCCTGCCACATCAGAATACTTGGTCTTCCCCATGTTAGACCTCAGATCAGAGATGGCAGAGGAGTCCAGAACTCTGACCACAGGGTAAGACTACCCTCCATCACCAGGAAATGGAGTGTCCCAAGACCAGACAATAAAGAGCCTTGGGCCTTCCAGGTTGGGCAATTCCCAACTTCTCCCTCTCCTAAATGGGTGGAGTTAGTTCCAGGTGTGGAGGCTCAGAGCCTACCCAAAGGGTTCAGGATTATAGAGTTTGGGGCCACATGGTTCATGGCGGTCAGCTGTGTGGTGAAGGGGATGGGGGGGTCAGTTGAGATGCATGACTGGGCAGGTCTGGGCTCTGGGGGGGAGGGATAGATTTTGGACCTGCGGTTCCCAGGACTAGAGTCGGATCATTAGGCCACAATCTGGTTCCCCGGCCTGAAGCCAAGGAGGGAGCTAAGGTTGGGTTCAGGTTGGTCCCGACGAGGGTCACGCACAGCGCTGGGAGTCGAAGCCATCCCCAGTGATGGTGAGCAGCTCCAGCTCCTTGATCCGGATCTCCAGCTCACACAGCTCCTCGGGGTGGGAGGCAGAGGCGAGCCGGGGCGTGGTGGGGCCGGGGGCCAAGGTCGAGGCAGCCCCCTCGGGCCCTGGCGAGTAGAAGAAGCGCAGAGGCTCGTAGGGGATGGAGGCCAGGCCGGAGGGCCAGGGCGGACAGGGACGCTCGCTGGGGGGCCCCAGGCCGGGCGGCAGCGAGGGCGTCGAGGCTGGGGGCCCGAGGGGGAGGGATCGCCCCCCGGCCGCCCCGCCCGCCGGCGCCCCGCCCGCCTTCAGAGGCACGAAGAGCTTCTTCCAGATGTTAAAGTCGCTCAGCGGCGACGAGGAGATGCCCCGATCGTAGAGGGACGGGAAATAGAGGGGTGGAGCCGGCCGCTGGCTCATCGTGGGGCTCTGGCTGCCGCGCCGCCCCTTCGGCATCTTTTGAATGGGAGGCTGCGTGGGAGGAACCCCGCGCCGACAGAGCGCGCCTCGGCCCCGCGTCGTCGCCGGGGTCGCGAAGTTCCACGGGCCACGCCCCGACGGAGCGCGGCCCCACCCTCCGCTCCAGCCCCACCCTAGACAGGCGGGACTCTCAAGTCCGAGGCCACGCCCCAGAACGTGCCCCGCCCCGCCGCAGGGAAAGCCACGCCCTCAGGCCTCCAGCCCTTGGTTTCCGCGAATGCCCAACACAAACTCGCTTCGCGGTAGCCCCGCCCCCACGCCGGCCCCACCCCCCACGCCGGCCCCGCCCCGCCCCCGGCTCCTCCCACTATCTTCCAATTCCTTTGTCTAACGTTTTGGTGTGCGTGAGTGTTGGTGCTAGTACTTGAACTCAGGGCTTGAGCGCAGACCCTGAGCTTTTCCTTTTCTTTCTTTCTTTTTTTTTTTTTTGCTCAAGGCTAGCCACACAGCTCCACTTTTGGCGTTTTGGTGGTTAACTGGAGATAAGAGTCTCATGGGTTTTCCTGCCAAGGCTGGCTTTGAACCCCTCACCTCAGGGCTCAGGCTTTTTGAGTAGCTAGAATTACAGCCCTGAGCCACCGACTCGTGGCTCCTATATGTTTATCCCAAAGAAGGAAGCAGGGAGCTGGCCAAGACTGCAAAACAAAACTTTTTTTCAGCCCTCCTGTCCTTTATTGAGGAAAGAAAAACATTCCCAACCACCTGCCTCAGAACCCTTTTCCTTCCTAATCATCTGGCCACTCCTCATCAGAGGAAAACATGCTCTACAGTGGGAGGCAAAAGCAAAGAAGGTTGGTTGGGAATGGCTATTAGAGCCCACCTGTGCTCTTCCAAACATAGCTGTGTTTATGCTAGATTCTGGAATAGAGGAACCTGGTCTGCATTTGTAATGGCCCTGAAACTAAGAATGTTTTCAGTGAAATCTGAAACTGTTTGTCTTCCAAACACATAAATTGTTAGGGCAACAAACTAACCACCAAAAGGAAATCCTCCAGGACCCACCTCAAACAGCACACTCTGAGTCACCTGGAGGTACCACCAAGGTATTTATTTAAGTGTAGCTTGTGGTTATTAGTCAGAGAAGGAAGGGAAGGACAAGGAAATATTCTCTGAGAGTCTCACTGGGATGAGTAAACACAGATGAATGGGGGCCAGTCAAGATCAGTCAGTACCAGCATCACAAATGAATGTTATGTCTGTACCCCCGTGCAGGTGAGGATTAGTGAAGTTTCCTTTTAAATATTTCCTTTTAAATGTAGGAACTCTTCACTTAGTGTCCTTGTGTTTGATTCATCACAGAATAAGTATTTCTGGATGTCACTAAAGCACCCATCCCAGAACACTACACAGACACAGTTACCTACAGGAAAAGGGGGTTATTTGCCAGCCGAAGCTGACAAGGCCATCTCCCTACAGGACGGGGAGAAATGGCACCTCTTGCTATTCAGGGGCATCCTTATAACACCAGTGCTAAAGGCAGGAGGTACTCTGCATGCCCAGTTAAGTCTGGGTGGAGAGTATGCACACCTATTCTGGGAGAAACCTGTGACCTGTGGAAACCCCTTGGGAGAGTTCTCTTTTCTGTGTGGAAGGCAGGGTGGAGTTCAGGTCTGGGTAGAGGATGTTCCGATAATGCAGCTGAGGGCTACAGATGGTAAGAAAACTTGGTGTAGCTTTATTATGTAAACAAAGCAGAGAGACAAAAAGCAGATAAATGGACAAGCAGGAGGGCAGGCAGGGGCACACTCTGTTAGAGTGTGGGTGCTCTCACAAGGAGATAGAGACACATATAAAGCTACTTGGGCTGTTGGGGTACTGATAGGGCAAAGGCAGGGGGCCTGGCTTCAAACTTATGTAAATATAGGTGCACCCTCCCCCCTCCTCTCCCATGTCCTAGTGCTCAGCCAGCCCGCTGTCATGGCCTCTGCTCTTCCAGGCCTCTTCCTGGCAGGGTGCTGGCACTCAGCGAAAGTTATTTGTGCCACAATAAGGACAAAGCTATTTTAAGAAACCCAAAACAGTCTTTTCTTTATTACTCATCTGAATGAGCTGTTGTGCTGATCTTGGTGTAGGGCCTCTGGTATTCCAACTTCTGTATACTTCTGTTTACGATAGATACCCACTATTCCAAGAAAGCTTCCAAAGCATGCAGTCCAGCCCATATTCTGATTTACCTGGATGGATGGATCTTTGTGTCATTACAGAGTAGTAATTTAAAAGTAAAAATAAATCAATTTAAATTAAGCAATAGCCTGAGAGGTAGTTTATAGGGTGTACAGAGCCTAGAAGAGAGTGGGGTGGGTGGAAGCTCTGTCAACCAGCACCAACTAGTTGACCTTGAACTGATCTTATAGCTGAACTTACTATTACAGTTATTATCCTGGTTACATCACTTACAGGATAGGTCTGTTTGATATTCCGTTCACAAGCAACGGAATTAGCACAGGGATATTCCCAAGGCTGAGATGACTCATGGATTTGAATACTTGAGAACAAGGTTCAGATGACAGAGGCCAGGGCAACTCCATGGATTCAGCAATAGGAAGAATCAACTTCTTGTTTTATATGGCTTCAAAGTGGTAGACTGTTGGCTGTCTCAATGATTATTCACCACCTTCACCCAGAGCTGAGGGAAAGATTGACCCTTTCCTCTTTTAACTAGAGTGGCCCCGAGATACAGTTCCATAGGGAAAGAACAGAAGATAATTGGAAGTTTTCTAGTAGGAGAGACAAAAGCAAGTGATGTTTTTCTCCTATTGTCTTTCTTTTCTCCTTCTTCTTCCCTACCTCCTTCCTCTTTTTCCCTTCCTTCTTTTCTCCCCCACCCCACTCTCATTTCTTTCAGTATTGAGGACAGCAAGAGCTCGTGTTTCAGCCACACCCCTACTCCACCTTGCCTTTTCCAGCCTCAAACTTAAAAAGCAATTTGGGAACTTCTGTGGTCACTTCGAAGTGTTCGTTAGGTAAAAACCAAGTATTTCAGTGTTTCAACCCAGACATTGCTGGATTGTGGAACCAATGCTAGCAGTTGCTTATCTCTGGCTTTATGCAAGAAAATCAGACTTTCTGGTAAGTTGTCAGTTATTTGCAGCTGAATACCTTCTGGAGAGACTCATAGTTTCACTCAACATTTTTTTACATTCTTGCATAAATTGACTCCCAGGAGAGACTGTATGTCCATCCTTTTTTTTTTTTCCTTTGGCTGGGGTAAAGGGTGGGCTATACTTACTAGTTTTCCAAGACTAAACTTAAAAGGGTGGATATAATTCCCAAAAGAATGGTTCTGTTTAGCAGGTACAGGCCTAGTGGCTAAAATCCAAATGTCCATTTTAGTAGGTGCTGTCACTACAACTGATAAAGGAGAGGCTCTTTAGCATCCTAAATGCCTCCTACCGCTGGAGGAGGAGAGTATAGTTTGCAGTCCTTCTCATTTAGTGGTTGTCAGGGTCAGGGAATTTCTTAAGAAACAGAAACTCTGCTGAGCACTAGTGGCTCATATCTATGATCCCAACTACTCAGGAGGCTGGGACGTGAGTTTGGAGATTTGAAGCTAGCCAAGGCAGAAAAGTCCCAAGAGATGCTATCTCCAACTAACCAGCAAAATTCAGGACTAGAAATGTGGCTTAATGGTAGAGCTTTGAATGAAAAAGCAGGGCAGATGGGGTTATAAAGGTAGAATTGACCAAATCCAGGGGCATTGCTGTCTAGATCCCATAGTCTCATATTCAAGTAAACGGGGTCTCATCTGTAATCTGGAAATGGTAGGCTTATGTATAGACAGTCTGTTCACATTTGCAAATTGAGAAAATTAAGTGATCTGGTTTATGTAACTATAATGTTTAGAGTTGTGCCAGGCATATAAGCTCCCAAGTTGTGACCACTCACACTACTCATGAGGCCAAAAGTCCAAAATATGGAGGAAAACAGGGTTGGGAAAGCCCTTATCAGGGCTCACACAACTGTTCAATCATGGCTGGCTGTGAGAATATACATGAATATACTTTAGAGCTCAGTAAGACCAAGAAGAAGGTAGAAAACAGCATCCTACCCTGGGTTTCACATACTTATCCATCATGACCACCCCTGGGGACCACACAGAGGCAGGCACACACAGAAGAAAGATTATTATAAGGTTTATTAGAGGGGCTATATCTCCCCCTGGAGAGAGAACATAATGACATCTGCCCCTATCCAGGTGGGTAGCTCTGGGGCTAGTCTCGTGCTCAGGTAGGTCGGGGAGGGGGGACGGAGAGAAAAAGTGGCCAGCTATATAGTGGGAACTCTAGGGCAGGGAGGAGCTGGGGTCCGGGTGGAACTGAGAACCAGAGGTGGGGATAATGCCCACCCTCAGAGGAAATTCAATGGGGTTGCACTCCTCAGAACCACTATGAAGTTTCTGTGAAACTGAAATATTACCAGCTCTCCACTTACCTGGCCTTTGCAGATTGACTCTGGATCCACGTACCCAACTCACAGTCTATGGCATATATCACGACCACTTTTTTCAGAAACAAACGTTCAGGTCATCAAACTAGCCCTGGCGGATCTGGTCAGCAGCTCTCTCCTCACTTGGTGCCAACCAGATTCTGTTTAAAGAACTTCCTTTCAGCTGGTGGCTCACATCTCTAATCCTACTTATTCAGGAGGCTGAGATCTGAGGATTATGACTCAAAGTCTACCCGGGTAGTCTTTATCTCCAATTAACCACCAAAAAGCCAGAAATGGAGCTATGGCTCAAGTGGTAGAGCACTAGCCTTGAGTATTGAAAGAAGCTCAGGGTCAGCACCCAGGCCCCCAGTTCAAGCACCAGAAAACAAACAAATAAAAAACATCAACAAGCACCCAACTCTCAACTCAGGAAAAATCTGTGAGATTCTTACCTCCAACCACCTAAAAGCCAGAAGTGGACCTGGGGTTCAAGTGGTAGAGTATGGAGTGAAAAAGCTAAGGGACAGTGTCCCAACCCCTTGCGTTCAAGCTCCAATACTGACACCCAAAAACTACATAAAACACCACTCTCCTCAGTGAACTCTGGCCAAGTAGAGCCATGGCCCAAGATGGCAGCCAGCCAGTCTCACACTGAACTGCATCTCTAATTCATTTTTTTTGGTCCACTGAGTCAACATCAGCTCCTTTGCTTAGCCAACAGCTGTGGGGATGGTCAGGATTTCCCTAGGCAGAAACAAGATCCTTTTGATGAGAGTTACTCCTAGTAACATGTCTTAGAAGAAAGAGGAAAGAGAACATAGGCCATCAAGGCAACCCTGGTGGTGACCAGGGTATCTCTATTGTCTATGCCTTTAGTAAAGGCATTATACAGGAAAGTCACTTCTGAAGATTTCTTCTTTCAGTTACTACCATTAAATGTGTGTGTGGCTGGGCACTGGTGGCTCACACCTATAATCTTAGCTACTCAGGAGGCTGAGATCTGAGGATCAAGGTTCAAAGCCAGCCCAGTCAGGAAAGTCCCTGAGACTCTCATCTCCACTAGAAAAACAGAAGTAGCACTGTGGCTCAAGTGGTAGAGCACTAGCCTTGAACTGAAGAACTGAGGGACAGTGCCTAGGCCCAGAGTTCAAGCCCCACAACCGACCAAAAAAAAAAAAAAAGTATGTATGTGTGTGTGCTGTTATCCTTCCAGAACAATGACCACACTCATCCATTTCATTACATTTTATTTTCAGAAAAGCAAATTACTGCATTGTCATCTAAGAGATTACATATGCATTTGGTTTGTACAGCAGATTATATCAGAGATCTTTAGGGTATTTGTTTAGCTTGGTACTGTGGTATATGCCTGTAATCCTAAGACTCGGGGGCTTGAGGCAGGATGGTGAGCTACAGGAAAGCCTGGGCTACATAGTCAGATCCTGTCTCAAAAAATCAAAATTCCCTCCCTCATATGCAAAAACCATTATCATTATACTGTTAAATACTGATATGATCATAAGAATACAAATGTTTAAGTCTTGAAGATTATTTACCAGGAGACACAGGGAAAAGGAAAAACTTCCTTTTTGAGGAAACAGAGCTGTCAAAAACTTCAACATTTGTGACTGATAGTAACCCCTATACGTCTATTTTATATAATCTATGCTGAATCAGCCAGAAGTCAGTAAACTAAATACCATCAGGCAAAATATGTTCACATATCTGTTGCTAGTAATGATAACATTTGGAAGTCTTGAATAGCAGCCCATATGATTTGTTGCGTTTTGTGCTGGTACCAGGAGTCTTGAACTTGGGCTTCTTGCGCTTGCTTTTTTTTTTTGCTTGTGGCTGGCACTCTACCATTTGAGCCATGCTTTCAGTCCAGCATTTTGTTCATTAATTGAAGACTTCCCCCAGGCTGGCTTCAAACTGGGATCCTCCTGAGTAGCTGGGATTATAAGCATGAGCCATCAGTGCCTGGGCTTCTATAAACACTTATTCTAGAACCACACAAGGGAATTCCTCCTAATACATTTGAAGTAAGTGCACTTAATACTCCCTGTCCCTTTGCGTAGAATGTTTATTCTTTATGTGTGGTAATCTCTTTTTCAAGAAAATCAAAAAGAGGGAGTATAACTTTAATACACCATTAGTTTAGGCAATTAATTTTTTTTAAGTGAAAGACAGCAAAGCCCATACAAAATTTGGAGACATGGGAACATTCAAATTTCAGCCATGGGTAACTCTCTAGAGACAGATCTTGTATTTCTATGCACTGCCATTTAGATAGGATATCATCATTCCCTACCCATACTCTGGCGGAGACAAAGCAAGGGATTCCAATTGCTCTGTATTAAACATCTTATTGCGTAGGCTAGGGGTGTGGTTTAGCACATTCATGTTCCTGGGTCTAGTCCTCAGTCTACAGCTTTTGGACATCCCATACCTAGAAATTTTGGCATGCTTGCATGCCAAAAAGTTTGCTTCATTTTTGTTTGTGCTGATATGTGGGCTTGAACTCAAAGCCTAGGCACTCTTAGGTTTTTCACTCAAGGCTGACACTCTACTACTTGAGCCACAACTCTACTTCTGGCTTTTTGATGGTTATTTAGGGATAAGAAGCTCACAGACTTTCCTGCCCAGGCTGGCTCTGAACTGCAATCTTCAGAATTTTAGCTTCCTGAGTAGCTAGGATTACAGGCATAAGCTGCTGGCACATGGCTGATGAAAGAATTTTATGTGACAGAGGATGTTGGAAAGAATATCCATTGCCTCCCCATTCTCCCTAATACTGATTATACTATTTAACTACATTCAGGAATCAGGGAACAAGTAGAGGATGAAGAGAAGTAATCTCTTCAGGTTACTCCTCTATCTTCACTCCTATCCTGAATGCAGGACAGGGTCTTTCAAGTCTCTCAGATCCTTTTCTCTTATCAAAGGTGTTCAAGATAGTTCTATTCTTTCTCAACAACATCCACTGGAAAAACAATAAAGGCTTTGGTGTGCAGCAGCAGCAGTAAGAAAATGGGAAGATAGAAAGGGGAGGAGCTTAGGAAATTCCCGCTCTGCTGTTTCATTAGAGACAAAGGTTCCACATTGCTGCCAGAAATGGGATTGCCAGCAATACCAGCTTCCCTGATAAGGTGGCTGCTACTCCAGCAGATTTGAGTTTGAGGTTACAAAGGTCTTCCTGGCAGCAGCTGTACTGGATCTCAGACTCTCCTATTCGGTTGGAAATGAAGTCAAAAGTACAATCCCTCAATGCCCAACAGTGGCGATAGATGCGGGGCCCTGTGGAGAGACACACAAGGGGTAAGAAATCACATGGGGAAAGTTCTGTGCCTCCATGGCCTTTTCATTCTACCTCTTAGAACTTATCCTGTGGAAGGAGAAAGGTCTAGGCAAGAAGAGTCATCCAGGTGATCATGAAAAGATGTGATGACATACCTCTAAATGAAACTTTCCCATAAGACCAAAGTTTCATTAGAGCCAGGAGAGTGTGTGTGTGTGTGTGTGTGTGTGTGTGTGTGTGCGTGCGTGTGTGCACGTGCGTGTGTGTGTGAGAGACAGATCTTCTTTACTCACTTAGTATCCTTTCCAGCTATCTTCCCAGACACCCCTTTCTCGTTTATCACCCATCACCCATCACCCATCATCATCATCATCATCATCATCATCATCATCATCATCATCTTAGATACAGATTGCATAAATGAGAAAAAACATGCAATAGTTTGGCTTTTTGAGCTTAGTATATCTTGTTCAATATGATCTCCAATTTGGCTAATTAATTAATTAATTAATAGGCACTGTCTCTTAGCTTTTTTACTAAAGGCTAACATTCTAGTACTTGAGCTACAGTTTCCTTTCCCATTTTTCAGTAGTTAGTTGCAGATAAAAAAAATCTCAATGGACTTTCATGCCTGGGCTAGACTTTGAACCAGGATCCTCAGATCTCAGCCTCCTGAGTAGCTAGGATTAGAAGTGTGAGCCACTGGTGCCCAGCTCCACATGGTTTTGAAAGACGTGGTTCAAGTCTACCTACATCAACAGTCTGTGACTGCCTTCATGCTTTCCCTAAATGTGGCCCTCATTCACAATACCATCACAGAATGGCTACTTTGTCACTGCCATCAAAGGCTCCTTTCAAGATTCTTAAGTATATTTAGCATAGTTTATACTACGGGAAGGACAGTAAATGATCACTGAGTTAGCAATGAACACCTCCCTTTCTTCTAGACTTCATGTAACACTGTCATACTCATTCTCTCTTCTAACTGACCCTAAGGGATCACAGAGGTTAAGCATTCCCATTCTACATAAAGCGGAGGGAAAATGTGTCTCAAGTGATTTCCCCTTGTGCATCTGAATCAAGTGCTCTGCACTCTGCCTCTTCCAGGCTAACCTGATTCAGAGCTAGAGGAGGATTTAGATGTTCTGTTAATATCAGCTGTAAGGCCAGAATACCCGAAGTCACCCCTTGATATCCACAGAGGACTGTCTTCAGGACCTGTGGACACCCAAATCTAAGGAAGCCTATATCCCTTAGGTCCCTTAAATGCTATGGCATTTGTTTGCAACCTATATACATTCTCCTGTATCAACAGTTGTTAGGCTGAAGCCCACAGATAAGGAGGCCTAATAACTGTCATCAAAGTGGCTGTGCCATCTTACATAACTAGGAGTAATAAGTGACAGTTCCTGTTGTGTCACATCTTCACCAGCAGCTAATGTCAGTGTTCTGGATTTTAGTCATCTTGAAAGGGCTGCTTTATGGTTGTTTACCTTAACTTTTTTTAAAAGCTTAACAATTCAGATATGTAACCACAAAATGTGAGAGCTAGAAAGACGATCTAGACTTAGGTCTAGTACCCAGCATACACATTTCAGGGGTAATGCATGGGTGAGAAGACCTGACTGATGGTAGAACTGATGTCAGAACGTCTCACTGCTACTCTGATCCTCACTCATTCAACAGCTCCATCTCCACGATTGGAAATTATACTCTGCACTGAGTCGTCTCAGAGAGACAGATGAGCAAGAACAACAACAAAAGCCAGGTACCAGTGGCTCACATCTGTAATCCTAGCTACTCAGGAGGCTGAGAGCTGAGGATCGTGGTTTGAAGTGTGCTTGGGCAGAAAAGTCCCCATGAGACTCATCTCCAATGAACTACCAGAAAACTGGAAGTACAGCTGTGGCTTAAAGTGGTAGAGTGCTAGCCTTGAGTAAAAGAACTCAAGGACAGTAGCCAGGCAGGTCCTGACTTTAAGCCCCCAACTCTCTCACACACACAAAAACAAAACAAAACTATCTGTGTCTACCAACTCATACACACAATCAGTGATCAAATATTTGTGGAGAAAATTAGTATGTCCTGCTGAGCAGCATTAATGTACTTTCTTCATTTGCAGTGAGTTAACAAATGGTTCTTGGTGGAGGGAAGGGACTGTCCCCTGCAGAATCAAGAACTTTACATGTAGAGCTTGGAATTTTAGCTGCATTCCAGAAGTTCATAGCAAAATTACCAGATATTCCTGGTTTTTAAACATATTCTAATGGGGCCTTATACATATGAAAGGATTTCTCTGTTCCAGGGAAATGAATCCTCTTTCTTTCAGGTTTTTTCTGAACCTGTGGGTTTCCCCCAAGTCTTGATGAGTTTATCTGACATTTTCACAATTCCTTGATACTGGTACTGGGAAGAATCTGTGGTAGGGAGGATAAGAATGAAAACAACCTTAAGAGGCTTTTCATTTTTATCTCTTAGAAATGTAAGCCAAGGGCTGGGAAGGTGGCTTAGTGGTAGTGTGCTTACCTAGCATGCATGAAGCCCCTGGGTTTGATTCCTCAGTACCACATAAACAGAAAAGGCCAGAAATGGCTCTGGGGCTCAAGTGATAAGAGTACTAGTCTTGAGCAAAAGAAGCTCAATAACAGTACCCAGGCCTTGAGTTCAAGCCTCAGGCCCCTCGACTGGCAAAAAAAGAAAAAAGTAATGACCAAAAATGTAGGCCTGGGAGTTGTTTTTTTTTTTGGGGGGGGGGGGGGGGTCTGGTAGTGGGGCCTGAACTCTGGGCCTGGGCGCTGTCCCTCAGCTCTTCAGCTCAAGGCTAGCGCTCTACCACTTGAGCCACAGCTCCACTTCTGGCTTTTTTCTTTTTTGCTTATGTGGTGCTGAGGAATCGAACCCAGGGCCTCGAGCATGCAAGGCAAGCGCTCTACCACTGAGCCACCTTCCCAGCCCCAGGCCTGGGAGTTTTATCTTTATACACAAGACCACCCTTAAGAAACTGGCTTGTCTTACTGGTATTACACATCTATTCAAACTAGTAAAACTGTTGCTGGTTTTTCCTTCCTCTACTATGTGCTAACCTCTATTTTAATAGCAATTATGGAAATGGAGATTGTATTGTATTTTAGGGAATTTGAAAAATGTAGTGTATACCAGCACACCCCAATGCCCACTTCTGAACATTCTGCTCTCTGAGGCCACCTTAACTGGGCACCTGTGGTTGCCCAGGATTCCCCTTCCCCTTTAGCCTTGTCTTCTGAGCTTGAGGCCCTTCAGGACTTTAGAAGTACTAGATGCCTCATGGAATGAGACCAAGATAAAAGTCATTTGAGATAGCCACACAGGTCACTGTCAGAATTTTTTTTATACATGTCCTTTATCTTTACATCCCTAGCCCTCCAGTTCAGGCCCTGGCACACAGAAGGCGCTAAGAAATTTGGGAGACAGAACAGTGTCACTGTTAAAAACACAAGTTATGCAATCAGATAGCTTTCCATGTTCAAATCCTGAATGAATGACCTGACTAGGATCTATTGTTTAATCAGAGCCTCTAACTTCTTTTTGTTTTTTTGTTTGTTTGTTTGGGGTCATATAGGAATAAAAGACCACTGGGAGGTAGGTGAGAAGGACTACATGGTTTTTTTTTTTTTGGTCCAGTCCTGGGGCCTGAACTCTGGGCCTGGGCGCTGTCCCTCAGCTCTTCAGCTCAAGGCTAGCGCTCTACCACTTGAGCCACAGCGCCACCTTCAGCTTTTTTCTTTTTGCTTATGTGGTGCTGAGGAATCAAACCCAGGGCCTCAGGCATGCAAGACAAACACTCTACCACTGAGGTACCTTCCCAGCCCCAGGACTAGATTTTTTTTTAATGTACAGAAATGGGCTGAAGGGCTGGCTCAAGTGGTGAAGCATCTGCCTTGCTACCACAAGGCTCTGAGACCAAACTTGAGTATCACACACATACACATACCCTAAAAAAATATGGAATGTGTCCAATATGCAGCTGGAACTTACAAATGGTAGCTATTACTTGCATACAAGTTGAACAAGAATTAGAAAGGCCCACATTTCTGAGGTTCTCATCCCTGGTAGCATGTAGGAGGACAGGGGTCAGGGATGCTCTTACCAGATTGTGCAAAGAGACATGCGTCAAGGTTAGATGGACAGGTCATGTTTATGTTGCAGTCTGAAACTGGGCTTGGACAGTTGTAGCAGCGGAGGCTAAAACCTAGAATCAGGAAGAAAGCTTATCAGAATGTGTTAAGCATCAACAAAATGAAAAAAAGAACCTATTGTACCATAAACTGACTTAATCCTAGGTGGGGAGAACAGAGCTCACTACCTCTAGAAGCACGGTCAGCTCTCTTCTTTCCTGGCTGCCTGATGGTCAGTCACCCTTACCATGACATAGTAACCATCCCCACTAGGAAGTTCATAGCCAACCAATTACTTCTGAGGAAAGAAGTGAACACCCATGGCATCCAGCCTGGGCAAAGAGAAACTTGGGGTGGGGGTGGGGGTAGAGGAAACAAAACTAGCCACATGTTCAAGATCTCACAGAATGCCATCTTTGTCTTTGAAATCAGAACACACAAGATTATCTGGCTTTGGGATGATTTATGATCCTTGGATTTTGCAAAGAAAAATGAACTCACACCCAGGAGAAGAAAAAACCCCCACAAAAACAGCAAAAGAAATGCTGAAGAAAAGACTGCAGAAAAGAATGGAGGGGGTTTAGGGCCAAGCAGTGGCTCATGTTGGTGATGGCAGAGACAAGGAATAAAGACTTTACCCATAATGACTGCAATGACTTTATCTACAGTGATTGTGTGAGGTTTTCATTCACATTTCTAAAGGATCTGAGTGTTAATGTTATTATTATTATTTTGGCTTGGTGCCAGTATGGGGACTTGAACTAGGGGCCTTGAACTCTTGCTTGCTTGTTCTTTTCACTCAACGTTGGTGCTTTGCTACGAGCCACACTTCTGCTTCTGGTGCTTTGCTAGCTAATTGTGGAGATAAGAATCTTTTGGATTTATCTTCCCAGGCTGGCTCAATTCTCAGATCTCAGCCTCCTGAGCATCTAGGATTACAAGTGTGAACCACCAAGTGGTTCCAAGTGTAGGTTTTGGAGCCTGAAGTCTGGTAGAAAGAAAGGCCTCAGGTCTGAACATAGGTGCCAGGCTCCTTGTTGTACCTTCATCCTGTCTTTCTAGGTACAAAATTCAAACCAGCAGAAGACCTATTGATTTGGGAAGGTTGTAGATTAGCCCCTTGAAACATCAATATAACTCCCTGCCCACATTGTTTTCAGTTGGCAAGGGAGATGCCTGGAGAGATGAAGTGACCTGGAGAGTGAAGTAGATCCAGCTTTATATAAAGGGATAGAGCCAGGGCCAGCCCCAGCCTGTGGGCAGGGATTCTGTCAGGCAGATCTGCTTGTTCACCCATGGGTCAGCATTAGCCATCCCTGAGCAGGAGGGGAGCACAAGAAAAGGAGCAAGTACCCCTTTTCTCTCCAGTCCCTTCCATGTGCCAGGTCTGTGTACATACTTATGAAGAAAAAGAAAGAATGGGGGAAGTGGAGGTTGTCCTAGGCTACTTGAGGGTCAGTTTTTGAAAAAAAAAGCACTCATTAAGAGTGATTGGAATCAAGGCCCATGTTTAGAACTTCTGTAGAGCAGAAATAATCCATAGCTAACACATTTATTTAGTGTTCCAGTGTACTAACTGAGTACCCAGGTACTAACTAAGCTATTCATAGAATTTTTTTTAACTTGGATTTGAACTTACTTCTATACCAACTGAGCCATGCTCCAGCCCTTTAAGCCTTACTTTTCAAATAGGATTCTGTGGGGTTTTTTGCCTCCATTTATTGAAGTGGGCTCTTGTTAACTTTTTGCCCAGCTGGCCTCAAGTCATGATCTTGTCAATTTCTGCCTCCTGAGTAGCCAGGATTACAAATGTGAATCACTACATACTGGCCTCTTTGTAGAATTGTGTGGTGGGGTCAAGGAACTCAATCCCCATTTTGCAGGAGAAAATGAGAATGTTAACTAGCATGTCCATGGACATATTGCTACTATATGATGGAGGTGAAACTCACACCCAGACTGTTAGTTCTAAAACTCAGGTTTGGTTTAACCAAGATAGCTTTTTAACTGCCTTGAATGGGGAAGAGAAGGAAACAGTACAGATTGTGGGTGTAAACTGAAGTCAAAGACAAGGAATGCGTTCGTGGATGATGATATTCTGGCTCCTAAGTGGGGTGGAGTACCTGAACCACCAGTTCCTGGGTGTCCTTTCTCAGGTTCAAGGAAGAAACTGTAAGTGTTAAATGTCATTTTCTGCCTATGAGATGTTTCTGCCTAGGGCACACTGGCCTGTCATGGAAATCCCCCCAGAGGCCCCTCAGAGTTCTAGGTAGCAGCAAAGGAGGTCTCTTACGTGCACACACAGGTCCATGCTTCACATCTCAATTCTCTGGGACCCAAGTGCCCCTCCCCAGGCCTTTCACAGAGTAGCAGACTTCCAGAAACAAGAAGTGATGAGTTTTGCAATTACAGGAATATGCAGTGGAGAATGGAGAAAACACAGGCGGACAACACTACAGCCTACTCTGACTAGAATGCACAGAAGGTAGGCAAGGAGTCATGATTTAGTATTATTTTTTCTTTTCAAAAAGACAAAGAGGCCAGGTGCCAATGGCTCATGCCTATAATCCTAGCTACTTGGGGGCTGAGATCTGAGAGCTAAGAATGGTAACTGGAAGTCAATTTAGGCATACAAATCCAGGAGACTCTTATCTCTAATTAAACATCAAAAAGATGGAGATGTGATTCAAACGGTAGAGCACTAGTGGTGATTAAAAAAAAAAAAGTCAGAGAGAGAGAGAGAGAGAAAGAATGGGGGGAGGGAGGAGAGTTCAAGTGTGCTCTTGTGGGGCTTGAACTCTGGGCCTGAGCACTGTTCCTGAGCTCTTCAGCTCAAGGCTAGCATTCCACCACTTGAGCCACAGTGCTATTTCCTGTTTTTGCTGTTTATGTGGTGCTGAGGAATTGAACTCAGGGCCTCATGCATGCAAGGCAAGCACTCTACCACTGAGCCACCTTCCCAATCCTGCTCATTGTATTTCTAATTCTTTCCTGCTTGCTTCTCTACCATCCCCCATTCAAACAAATAAAATTAAATAAGTCAGTAGCAACCAGGATGCTGTAACCACATCACAAAAGCAGAATAAATCTGGAAGCAAAGCAAGTGACCAAGACTTAGACAACTTCCTGTAGAAACCTGAGGAACGGTGCCCAGAAAAATGTGGGCATGGGAGGGGTGGCCCACGGGAAGGGTGGCCTGAAGCAGAGATGAAACACAGGAAGACTGGCGCCAAGCTGGGCTCACATTTTGGCATTCCATTTCTGGACACTCTTTTAGAAGTTATTTAATTTTTTTGTGACCTTAGTCTTGTGATCTGTACTGATTCCATTAGATTGGCACAGTGATTCATAAGCAAGCGCACGTAAAATGTTTACTTTCAGTGTTATAAGCCTTAGTGTCTTTAGCTGCTACTGCCTCTTCTATGAGCATCACCGCACAGGAGAAGCTACTGGGCAGAAGGACAGAGCTCAGAAGACTGAGTGCAGCGCACCTGTCTAAGGGTAGTATCCACTGGATTCCCCAAGCTATAATGGGTATGATTGGGCCATACCCAAGCTCCTGCCCTGTGCATAGAGCAGCCCTGTAATTCAAGATGACCTCAAGGTGTCCCACTGAGGACACAGAAATGTTACACAACCCTGGGCCTAGAACACACTGGAAGCAAAAGAACCAAAGCAAGGACTAAAAAAGGGACTGGGGCAGAAACTGAAGCCAGTGGCAACAGCTTAGTCTCCCAGGTCCCTAAAAGAAAGGAAGCGAATGGCCAAGGCAACTTAGGTAATCACACCCCTGTCTAGACACTCTGGACCACATACCTGAGTGTGAAAGGACTGCCAGGATGAGCAGGAAGCTGAGCAGGCCAAATCCTCCTGTACTTCTCATTGTGTCTGGCCACAAAGCCTGGAAGGAAGGGACAAGAAGAGCTGTCATGGAACAATAATGTGCTTGCTAGTTATGTACAAAATTGAGAGCAGGAGATCAAGAGGGCCTTTGGGAAACTTGGACAGGGGGCTAACACACACAAAACAAACAGGAAATTTCCAGAAGAGAGTACACTCAGTATGTCTGTGCTAGTCTCTTCCTCCTGCCTGAAGGCCTACTTACTGAAGAAACACACATCTTTGTAAGGTAGACAAATGAAGCTCACTAGATTTAGCCAGCTTCAGCCAGGGTAGCCACGTACCATTGAATAAACCCAGTTCCTACTTTCTTCCCCATGTGGGCTGTGTAGCCCAATGCAGATGAGCTTTGGCACCATTCCCAGCACAACATAGGCAGTCGATAAAATATATTCCACCCCACCAAAATCTTCAGTACTTTAATTTTTTTTCTTTTGGGTCCGGTCGTGGGGCCTGAACTCTGGGTCTGGGCGCTGTCCCTCAGCTCTTCAGCTCAAGGCTAGCACTCTACCACTTGAGCCACAGCGCCACTTCCGGCTTTTTTTTTCTGCTTATGTGGGGCTGAGGAATCGAACCCAGGGCCTCAGGCATGCAAGGCAAGTGCTCTACCACTGAGCCACCTTCCCAGCCCACAATCTTCAGTATTTTAAACTGCTGGTTGTATTTCTAATTCTTTCCTGCTTCCTGCTCTACCCATGCCCTATCCAAAAAATAAAATAAACCAGTAGCAGAGAAAATTAAGAGGAAATTTTCAATTAAAATTAATCAATTAAAATTAATTCAAGAGCACCTCCTGCTCTTCTGTTCTCTCTTCTGGGGCTCCCGCCCCAGGCCAGGCCACTAAGTGAAGGGGACCACAGGGGACCTCAGGAAAGCACCAACACAGGCACTCATAACAAGTGCCACAGGGACATGCCTTACTCACTTTAGGGAAGGAAAGGGAGATTTGTGGGTAATTTCAATGATTAGTCTCATTATACAAATGACTAATGTGGGCTGGGAAGGTGGCTCAGTGGTAGAGTGCTTGCCTTGCATGCATGAGGCCCTGGGTTCGATTCCTTAGCACCACGTAAGCAAAAAGAAAAAAGCCGGAAGTAGCACTGTGGCTCAAGTGGTAGAGCGCTAGCCTTGAGCTGAAGAGCTGAGGGACAGCGCCCAGGCCCAGAGTTCAGGCCCCACGACCAGACCCTCCCCCCCCCCCCAAAAAAAAGACTAATGTGCAGTAATAGGTAGCAGGCAAGAAGAAAGCTATAGGCCGAAACCCTCCTTTCAGCCAATAGCATGGGAGGTTTTGGTTCAAACCTATAAAGTCTCCCATCCCCGCCCTCCACTCCTGTGCCTATCTTGAAATATGGAAGTGAGAGCTTTGGGGAGCCCACAGGCCAGCACTCAGGACTGACAGACAGTACTGGGGCTGGAGATCAAGTGAGCTAAGTGTCCTCCTCTAGGCTGGGCGTCCAGAGTTCCCTGAGACTACAGGGCCATCTCCCAAATCCGAGAAGTCAAGAGAAATATTGAGGCCTGGGAGAAGTGTGGCCATCCCTTATAAGCAGAGCACATCCAGTTTTCTCCTAGCTTCCTGCTTGATCTCCATGCTAGGATTCTGGGTAGAGAAGATGATCTGTAAAGCCGGGCGCTGGTGGCTCACGCCTGTAATCCTAACTACTCAGGAGGCTGAGATCTGAGGATCGCGGTTCAAAGCCAGCCCGGGCAGGAAAGACCGTGAGACTCCTATCTCCAATAAACCACCAGAAAACCGGAAGTGGCGCTATAGCTCAAGTGGTAGAGCGCTCGCCTTGAGTTGAAGAGCTGAGGGACAGCGCCCAGGCCCAGAGTTCAAGCCCCACGACTGACAAAAAAAAAAAAAAAAGAAAAGAGAAGATGATCTGTAGACTCAGGTTAGGGCTCAAGACCACGATGAAAAGGAGCAAGAACAGGAGGGTGATGACCTGCAGTCTCCCCAAATAACCAGATAGGGTGCTCAGAAACTTTCTGAAAGTTAACAAAAACTTCTGTGCTGGACATAGTAGTTCATGTTTGTAATTCCAGACACTTGGAAGAAAGAGATAGAGACAATCACAGTTTGAGATCAGCCTGGAAAAAAGTTAGTAAGAACTTATTGTAACAACAACAAGAAAAAAAGCTGGATGTGCTGGCTAATGCGTTTTCCCAAATACACAGAAGAATAAATAGGAGGTTTGCCATCCATCTGGCTCAGGGGAGAAAGACATGAAACATGAGACTCTACATGAAAAATAACTGAAGCCAAAAAGGCTGTGGGTATGGCTCAGGGGTAGCTCCTGAATAACAAATATGTGACCCCGAATTCAAGCTCCAATACTGCCCCCTCCAACACAAAACTATTCTGTCTGGCATTGCCATCAAAGTAGAAGGAAATCAGCTTCCTGACTCTTGCTGGGCATTCAAAAGGAGACTTCCCATAGGATAGTCCTGGATGTAAACAACACTGTGATAACACAGTATCTCTTACCCAGAAGGAATCTGTGATGAAGTGTTGAAGTGAACGAGAAAGAACTGGCAAAACAAATCTATGAGCTACACAGACTGCCATGCAAGGAAGGGCACCGGCATCCGAGTCTAGTGTGAAGGCCTCTGAACAAGGTCTTGAATCTTTGTGGCTCTGCTGTTTCTTTGCTAGGTGTTCCTTTGTGTTGGTATCACTGAGAAATTCTAATGCGCAAAGAAGAAACTGGGGTGGGGATGAGGGGAAGCCAGTGGGTAGCAGGAGAGAAAGTAAAATAAATCTAAGGAAGTACTCAGCTTTCTGGGTGGGAGAAGAAGCATCAAGTCTTAGCTTCAGCTAAGATTGCCTGGCAGTCGTGGAAGCTGATTCTCCATGGTAAGACTGAGATCTGAGGATGGTGATTCTGAGACAGCCTGGGCAGACAAATAGGAGATACATCTCTTACCAATCAGCAAAAAGCTGCAAGTGGAGGAATAGTTTAAATGGTACTAGCAACTGTGAGTAGATAAAGCCCAGCAAGAGTGTGAGGCCCTGAATTCAAGTCCTAGTCCCAGAAAAGAAAACAAAAAACCAACTGGGCGCTGGTGGCTCACACTTGTAATCCTAGCTACTTAGGAGGCTGAGATCTGAGGATGGTGGTTCAAAGCCAGCCTGGGCAGGAAAGTCAGTGAGACTCATCTCCAAAGAACCAACAGAAAACTGAAGTGGAGCTGTGGCTCAAAGTGGCAGAATGCTAGCCTTGAGTGAAAAGAGCTCAAGGACAGTACCCAGCCAGATTTCAAGATCCACAACTGGCCAAAAAATAAAATAAAAATACTACAGAAAGTCTAAGATAGCAGAGGAAGTTAGTAACCAGTAATGACAATGCCAAGTTTTGGATCAAAAGACTTTGTTCACCACAACTAACATGAGTTTCTCATATGGTTGATCGGTTTTTTGTTGTTGGTGTTGGTGTTTTGCAGTCATGGGGCTTGAACCCTGGGGCCTGGGCACTGTCCCTGAGCTCTTCAGCTCAAGGCTACCACTAGAGCCACAGCTCCACTTCCAGTTTTCTAGTGGTTAATTGGAGATAAGAAGTCTCTTGGACTTTCCTGCTTGGGCTAGTTTTGAACCACAATCCTCAAATCTCAGCCTCCTGAGGATTAATTACAGTCATGAGCCACTGGCGCCCAGCTTGGTTGATCAATTTTAAGAAATGAGAGGCAAGTGAGAGCGACTGATACAAGCTCCAGGCTTTATTGAGGGGTAGACCTGCTGGGCTGCTCCAAGCAGGAATGTAGACAGCAGCCAGGGAAAGATGTAGGCTGAAGTTAAACAGAATTTTAGGGGGCAGTCACATGGGTTACATTACATAGACAATGGGAATTCATAGGTAGGGTCTGTTCTGAGAAGAGAAGATGTTACATGGACTACAGGAATTGGTGGGGGGGAGGGGGATCACATTCCAAGACGAAGTATAGTGAGACTGTTGCAACTGGGCCTGGAATTTGTAGTCACACTGGGAAAACAATATAGAAACTTAACAGATTTTTGTACAGCAGGGCCTTAATTGACAAGCTGACTCAGACCTTAGATAAGGTATTTTGTAAATGCCCTCAAGAACTGTTAGCGAAATGAGCTCCCTTCCCATAGCTTACTACACTTCTTCCCCTCTCTACAGCTTAGCACGCTCCCTTCCTAGGCAACTCTAGGCCCATTTAGTAAAGGCAGTAAATAATCAGTCTCCAACCCCCTTTACCTTGGAATGGCACTTCTTTGGGGCAGCCACCAACATATAAAGCAACAAGAGCCCCTTGGAGTGACCTTCAGCAGCTGCAAGACCCCTGGATCCCTTTATCTACTATTTAAACAGCAGCCATAAATCCTAGTCTGCTGTGATGAAGCCCCTGGCCCTCACGTCCACACCAGGGTCTCCACCTCCTAGCCCCTTCTAGCCCCTCCTAAACCTCCTAGGTTGTATAGGTCACCTCAGACAATAGCTGGCGCTCCTTCTCATTTCTCCCTTGTGAGAAGGGCTCTTGTCGGCCCCCTTCCCAGCAATAAACCTTTCTTTGTTCTCTGTACTTGGATGTCTGCGTGGTTTTCTGGCAAAGTCCAAATAATCTAACAAGAATGAACAGCTATTAACCCTCCACTGTAAGGGTCTCTTAGAATAAAAAAAGCCCCTTGAAAGGGAACAAGTGGGAAAGAGGGAACAGCTGATGTTATGCAAAACAAAAGAAATGTACATATCACCCAATGTGGAAGAAATAACTGTATTGCAAAGCTCATAGAACTCATGTTATAGACCATGATAGACAATTTGCTCCATGAAAGTTAGAATGTGTTTGTGACTTTAACTAAGCATCACTATCCCACAATACTGTGAAATTTGGAAAATTATGTAATCACTTAATCACAATAAAGAATTTGAAAAAAAAAAAAAGTCCCTAGATCAAGCAAGGAAACTGAGTCAGGAAGTTAACCTCTTACTAGGAACTGAGTAATGCAATAACCTCTTACTGGAACTGAGGAAT